TATTTATTTTAATTAAACAGTGAAAGGTGCCAGTAACCTTCATTACCCACAGGTTTGTGACACCAGGAGGGTAATGCAGTGGCCAAGCAATGTTCCTCTTGTAATGAAATATCATTAAAGAGCCCATAAACAAGGCACTGAATAGCTGCAGGGGACTGTAGCTAAAATGTTTATCCAGAGGGTAATGGTTATTTCAGTTAATGCATTAGGCTCTAATTCTAAAATTGATATAAATATCTATGCAAACACGTTTCATAACAAGGTTTGGAAAAAAATGAAAGAAAGGGGAAAAAAAACATTTCCTTTCTAGCAGGTTCTTGGGCTTTGATACGACTTTTCCAATTGGTTGCTTTGCTGAGCATTGTAAATTTACTCCACCCTAATTCTAGTTCCTCAATTTTTACTCCACCCACTCGTAGTCGCTACAGCTCCCTCCCACAGACTGATGTAAGTGTTTGTCATCTTCTCTGAGTTGAGGAGGAGACGTCTAGTGATTATTTCTTCTTGGAGAGCTGTAATTTAAACACTAACCAGAGGCTTTTCAACTCTGCATCTATAATATACTCTTGATAATATTTGTCCCTACTGACTGCTCCAGCCTTACCTCAGTTTGAATCATGCTGTGCTGTTACATACTCACATTAATGGATTTATCTGGACTGTGAACTTGATGGGTACAATCAGTCAGTGGGTTTAGCATACACCTAATGGTGTAAATGTGTGCAATATGACTACATGACTATATGGTACAGTCTTTTAAAACCATGTAATAACTAGCAATGCAATGATGGAGTAATTGAGCAGTATACTGCTTAATTCACACTGGTGTTACATAAAGTTATACAATACTTAATACATATGAAAAGCTGTGAAGTTTTATTCTTTAACAAATGTACTCCACATCTTTCTAATTCTCTCAAGTCCTAAATAAATAGTGTAATGACCTTACTAAATAATTTTATTCATATGTAACTGCACACTGCCCAATTACAAATAATGGCCCCTGTGATAGTTGGTTTTTCTATTATCTGTCTTTATCCTATTTGGTGTAAGTATGAAACTCTCCCTAATGGTTATTATAGAGAATCATCATATGAGAATAATAGTTTAATCTTGTGGTACCTTTGTAAAACAGTCATTATTCTCACTACTAACATTAACAGTTACATGGAGTTGAGCCAAAATATCTGTTTAAGGCAGACAGTATCACGACTTCCTAATTTTGAATTGCTAATCAAGCAAAGAGAACAAAAGTTTATTCATCCCTCTCTTACGCAACCCCACTTAGTCCCATTGCATCTCTGAATTTTAGAGCATAGTCCCTGAACCTCTGCATCCAACACTGCCTAAGAGCTTGTGTCCTCCCATTGTGCTTACTCCTACAGGAAATAAGATTTCTAACAAAAAAGTGGATCAACAGAATGATGTAACCACATGAATTTAAAAGTCGTAACAGCTCTACGAGCATCCAACAGCACGGTCCCTTCTCTCATATCTAAATGGTTGCTCAGAACTATTGGAAACCGCCTGAGGACAAGGCACAAATTACATTGCTCATAAAAAGTAATACCCAATATTGTATCTTTTCATTTGGCTTTGCAACAACATGGGATCACAATGGAGTAATTAGTTTTATACAAATGAGCAGAGATGATTTATCTGTGCAAAAGGGAAAACAAAGCTCTGAAATATCTGAATTGAGGACAAACAATTGGTTTTGGCCTCCTTTGTTCTGATATTTCACTATTGTGGTAGGAAGTTGTTTTTGTAGTCATTGAGTGGCTAGCAATTTTCAAATACATAAAATCTGTATGTAAAATGCAGAAAATGAACATCTGCAGGAAAAATGTAAATGTATAAGGAAAGCAACATGGACATGCCTCTCCATATCAGACCCTGAAAGGCTTGTAAAAGAATGTTTACATAAACTGAGCAAACAGACAAAATCAAGGGGGGGGGGAGACCATGCTGCAGTGTACAAAGAAGACAGATGTGATATTCCCCAGCAGACAACACCAATCACCAAGCCAAATTTAGACAGGAATGTACTAAAACAATGATCCTGTCCAATAGTCACTTCAGAATCCAAACCTCAATCTAATTAAGATGCTGTGGCAAGACTCGAGAACAGCCGTTCACTTGCAGTCGCTGTGCAACCTGACAAAGTGCATGAATGGTATGTGTACAAAAGGTTATTCTCTTAATCTAAATTCAGTGGATAGTTTGCATATTACCAAAGCAAGATGCAATAAATGATCAGTATTCTAGTAAATACATGTTGCATTTTTTTTTTTTTTTAAATAATCCCCCCTATGTTTCCTTTTCTCAGATGGTTTGTTATATATCCATCCAATGATAAAGTCATAGGATCAAATAATTCAAAAAAATGTGATCATCCTCCCATCTGTGCAATTCATTTAAAAAACGAGAAACCCAACAACTTGAATGAGCCAATTTTGCTTTCCAAGTTTGGAATAGCTTCTACAGTCTGGGCACAGTAACAACATCTCACTTAATCCTGCTCACATATTGAAGTCAAAAATAAGATTACTTTTAGTCGTGTTCATTTGAAATGACCAATGTCACAAAAAGAACTCAGGCAGAGTGCATATTTAGTGATTTATTTGTACAATAGGAATTGCAGTGTACAAATACCCCAGCTCAGATGTAAAGGCAAGAACATAAGAGCATCTATTCTGCCCGACCTGAAAATCCCTCAAACCTCATTGTGGGTTTAGACTGATGAACATGGCAAGGACAAGTAAAACTTAAAAAAACAAAACAATCAAGCAGCTAACTGCTGAACATGTATAGGGATAAGGAGAACCTTTCCAACCAAGTGTACCAAAAATAAAAATAAAACAAATTTACAAAAATAATGTCCAATTTGAACATTCCAATCTTCGTGGCAGTGGAGCAATTATGGCCTCAGTTTAAGTAGTTTGTAAAAATGGAACTCACATTAGACAGACACAGAAAAGGCATATGGCGATATCTCTATCAAGTCCATGTGCCTGTGAGACTTACACATTTATACGCCATCCACAAACAAGATCTTTTTTTCCTTTTTTAAACACATACAAGAGGACAAGACAACCCCCCTCCCCCCCAACTTAAAAAAAAAGAAAAAAAAGAAAAAAAAAATGGAATTCTTTCCTCCAGGTCACCCCAAGTAGAACAAGCTCTCATACAATGGAGGTGGCATGGTTCAAGTCAGTGGTGTATTCAAAGTTCTCTCTCAAAACAATATTAATTTACATTCACTCAAATTTCCATTAGTAAATCACTAATGTTACCACGGTAACTCAAAATGTTGTATAAAAATATAACAAAGACTCAAAACTGATGCACAAAAAAAAAAAAAAAAAAAAAAAAAAAAATTATATATCTACACAGTCTCAAATGTGGGGTGGGGCTTGAGCAACATGGCCAAGAACTGTTTCAATTTCCAATATCTCATTTTATTTCTGGGGGGTCAGCGAATACATAATGAGGCTCCACATATCAAGTCTGAGTAGCAGCAGTCTTTCCCCTCTCAATCGCCACACAGTGAAAGCCACGAGTTCCATCAGGACCCCTTGGCAGCCTCATTACTCCTGGCGGCAGGCCATCAGCATTCTGGATCTTTCTACCCAGCATCGGGCTGCCGACCGGGCTGCTTTCCTGTGATGCCACCTGCTTCCGCCGCTGAACCCACGGGCTCCCTGAAGGTGTGAGGCTACTGTCTGAGGAGTAATCTGCCCAACGACGCCCAGCCTCAGGGCTCAGTCTACCCTCAACAGCTAAGGGAGACTTGTGGGAATGAGGAGATTTGCGCTGAGAACATGGGCTGGCACGAGGGCTAGACCAGGGACTGTTACGTGGGGACATACTTGGACTCAGGTGATTATTCTGGAAGCTAATGCCTGCAGTGGTGGGGCTGAGCTTGTTGCACGACTGGGATTTTCTAGCCAATCTGGGAGATGTAGGGGTGCTCTCTGTCTCTGAAGAGCTGCAAGCAGAGTCGTCCCCATGATACTGAAGCTCTCGTACCCGGCTGTTTAGAGAGCGGCTTTTCCGCATCCCTCCTTCCTCACGAGGTCGTTCTTTTGGTACCTTCTTTTTAGGTGGCTTGGTGCCAATCAGAACCACTTTCAACCCCAGTAAATTGGGTCCTCCGTTCTCACTGCCCGCAGCTTCGTTGGCTTTAACAGCAGCCTCCACCTCCTCAAACTCCACAATGGCACATTCTTCAGTGCCCAGCTGAGCGTAGCGACCACTCAGCCTCTTCAGGTCAGCCGGCAGGTCCTTCCCAGGTTTCAAGACTCTAACAGAGGCAATGGCACCGTATGTTCCGAATGCTTTCAGTAACAGTTTCATCAGCTGCTCCTGTTGAGTGGCTCCTCCTTCAGCACTTCCATTATCCTTAGTGAGAGCAGCCAGCTCTGGCCACCTCTGCAAATCACTTAATAGTAGCATGCGGCTGGGCAGTGACTCGCTGGCAAAGACTGGTACTGCGGATTTACGTCGCACCTTACGCCCCTCATCATTCAGCTCAAGGATCTTTGAGTGTCTCAGAGCATAAGCAGTGGTTCTCCAGTCACGAGTTAAGTGTTTCACCTGAGGAAAAAAACAAAACAAAAACAACATCTTTGTTACAGTCATATACCCAGTGACCATCGGGTCACAATTTCAGTGTAACTACCTTTAATTGTGAGTTATTAAGCTTCAGTAAAAATTGCCATGCTAACTTCAGTCTGTCACCAGGATAGACCAAGAATGTTTCACAGCTTCTTGTTAGTCATACTTCCTAAATCTCTAATTATACCAATTAATTTAAGCCAAAAAATTCTGACTTTACTATATTGCCCAAACTTATGTTTTAGCTCAGTGATTCTGAGCTCATGGTTGAATCAGATTAAATCAGCAAGTGCCCATCCCTTACTATAGTCAGTTTGCCATATA